AACACCTTTCTGCATAGGCGGCCTGCGGCCGCACTTAGGGATTATAACCCTCACAACGTAGAATTACGTTTCTGTGTTGCGAAGAAAAGGCACTGGACACCTTTTGCAGAGAACACCTTTCTGCGTAGGCGCCGTCGGCCGCACTTAGGGTTTGTAAGCTTTTTTTATAATTATTTTACATTAATTCAATTTTTGTAAGAACTATACAACATGTATATAAAGTATGTATACCAAATTAAAGGGAATCAAATTTCCTATTAAATGAGATTAAATCAATTCATTCGTTTTTGAGAAATCTTGATTTCAAAAATTGCTTATTAACCGACTTTCAAAAAAGGAGGAGGATATCAGTTCGTCAGAAAATATATATTTTTTTTTTTTTTTTTTATGTATGTTACCGCATAACTTAGGACCATGTCAACCGATTTCGATAATTCTTTTGCATCGGAAAGGCAGTGTCTCAGAGGTGGTCCCATACTAATCTGGTTGAGATCCGATCATAGGTCGTGAGATCTATATATATATATTTTTTTTTTATATGGGAGTTGAAGTCGTTTTTTTTTTTTGCTAAAAATTACTTGTTTTGAACTTTAGCCTTTGATAATTCTTGTTGTTGTTGTTTTCCCAAAAAAAGAAGTATACCGTTATACTCAGCTCAATCATCTCTAACGATTCCAATATATTTTTTCTTAATTTGAGATTTGGAGCCCAACTGCATTTATGCCAAATACTATTACTAATAAAGTGAAAATAGTGATAAATAATGTAAATATATACGATTTTTAACACGCCCGCCATGTTTCATGACGAAAATCGTGATAGTTTTGTGAAAATAGCCAAAAACCGATGTAATGGAAAGCCAACCCAAGACGCGCCTCAGGGGAAAATTTTTAGTAAAAACTCGTGCGATTTTCTATTAAAAATTTTCATTATTTATCGAAGTATCGGTTTTTATGAAAAAGTGCCGTTGGCGAATATTTGTAAAAAAAATCATTGTTTATTGAAGTACTGGTTTTTATAAAAAAGGGTCGCAGGAGAAAATTTGTAATAAAAAATCACGCGATATTTTATTAAAAAATTTCATTATTTATCGAAGTATTGATTTTTTTTAAAGCGCCGAAGACATACGCATTTTTTCTCCAATTTTATCGAGATCAGGTAATCTAGGTGGGCTTTCAACCCCTAAAATTGATTTTGAAAAAGTTTAGGGAAGGGGGTACCATTAGACGCGTCTTGTTCATTAACTATAACACATTCGCTTGAGATATACATATGTGACTTGAATTTCGTTAAAAATGTGATTCTACATACGTACTATTTATACAAATAGACCAATACCTTTTGCTTCCAAAAATTTGTTTACTTCAAATACGTGTGCATTTTCATTTTTACATTATAAATTTCAAATGACCAGTTTCTAAGCCTACTTTCAGTGTCGTAGCCCTTCTCATTGATGAAGCTTCTGTAGTATTTTCGTCAATATTTTTAATTCTTTCCAGTAAAAGCTTATTCTATTGCAAATTCTGTCGGTTTGTTGACTTTTATCGAGATTAGGAAGGAAACGATACGAGTAAATACAACTACATACTCGATACTTTTCCATCTATACCATGCAGAGTTGCCGTGGACAAATTTATTTCTCTATCAAATTTTCCTACCAAATTTTTCCAATGTCAAGTTTATTAAAAATTTAGATAACATAACACTAAGGGCCGGTTACTCAATGTCTGGTTAACGCTAATCCCCGGTTAAACATAGTTATCGACGTTACCGACTCCCTGTTGTATGCATGGGGTCGTAGACGTCGATAACGATGTTTAACCGCAGATTAGTGTTAACCAGACTTTGAGTAACCGGCCCTAAGTAAAACTAATGGCCCAATTCTGTGTCGCTGACAAATAATTTTTTACTGACAAATTTAAACTTTTTCATAAATTTTTCCGTAAGAAACACTGTGACAAGATTTTGTCACTAATAGAGAATAGAGTCGTAAAAGAGAGCTAGTACAATAAAAATAAATTAACTGCTTATAACAATCCATTTTACTGCACAGACATACAAATATATGTCTCTTTACACATATATATTACTATCATTATTAATATTAATACGTCAGGAATACTGCCGCTGCAACCTAAGGAGATTATTGTGCTAAATTGTAATCACTCTAACCTCGGGCTATTTAAGAAGTTAAGCCCTTTGGATGGAAGAGACAATCGTTCCCCAAGGTGTACTTTCGCGATACTTGGGCAGTCAGTTTAGAATATGCTCTGGCCTTTCCTCCACCAGCCCACTAAAGGCTCGGGACCATGCAAGCGCTTTTGGGCTCCAGGCTTTGCGAGACAGTAAACCCTTTCGTTGCCTTCAAACCCTTCATGTCCCGGAACCCACTCCAACGTTACGCTACTGTGGGCTCCCGTCCACAAACCTTGGGGCTATTTTAAAAGAGTCTAAGGCCTTTAAGGCTGCCTGACTATCCGACATAATATTTATTCTGGCCCCGTTAGTCCTTCTACAAGGACATACCCGAACACAGACTTCGATTGCGAAGACTTCTGCCTGGAATACGGTTTATTATGTGCCCATTGGTGGCAGACTTTCCTGGAATCTTGGTCCAAGTACACCGGCCACATTAGTCCCGTCGTCCGTCTTCGATCCGTCGATATACCATATTTACCTGGGACCCTTCGTCAATCATAGTTATAATCACTTCGCAGCACTCCCTTTCCGAAATTCTGACCTTGTAGGGTTTGTAAAAGGATAACTTGGGATCATCTAGAAATGGCTTAAGAATCTCCAAATAACCCCGAAGATCTCCACTTTTCATGCTGATCGCATTGGGCAGCCGTAGGGCGCTCCATCGTAATCATGTCAAGGGCATCCGTTGGACAGATGCGTATAGCTCATGTGATGGCCACGCGGACCACTCGGTGCAGCTTACTCAAGGTGGCACCCGCGTTTATTTGCTTAGCTTTTGGCCACCAGGCCAGTGTCGCATATATAACAACGGGTTTTACTACCGTATTTAAAGACCTATAGTTAGTTAGGGAGATATTCCCCCAAGTCTTACCATGAAGTCTCTGACAGGCATAAAACGCCCTTGTAGCCTTGTTGGCAACATTCGAGAGATTTGAGCTCCAATTGATTCTTTTGTCCAGAGTTACCCCAAGATACTTCACTGAGAACTCAATTTCCGTCCCTGCCAAGATGGGTCTAGTCAAGTTAACTTTCATTCTTTTGATAAATGTTACAATGGTGGAACTCAGTGGCTTTATGTAAAAATATATGAGCCATTCTTTTTTAAGTCGGACGGATTTCGTAAAAAAATTATGTCATGGCTCCGATTCGCTTCAATTTTTTTTTCATGGGTTCTATACATGAAATAAGGTAACACGTATTCAAGGAAATTTTTTTAATTTTGTTTCTTCGGAGATGTGATCTGTCAAAATTTGCATTTTTTCGTGATTCTGACTTATCATGTACTTCTTCAAATCATTGTATCTTGTTGCATACAGTGTTGAAATACAATGCAACGCCAACGTGGAACTCAAGCAGAACCTAGGAATGGAGGCATAAGGACCAAACGGCGCCGAGGAATTTGTTTTTAGTGACGAAAATTCAGCCCCCATTGTAAAATTAGAAGAGTTGTCTGAGCTCAGTACCTCTGAAAAAGCTTGGGAAATTAAGTTAATATTCTACAATATATTTTTACCAAAGAAGGTAAATTTATAAGAAGAGACAACTCGTTACTTTGATAATGTGCCGCGCCGATTTTGACCGTATCTGAAACGTTTGCAACAGGAATTTGTCTCCGTTTTGACTCTGTCCGCGGCAGATTTTTTATTTTCGCGGCGACCACGGAAAAGACAAACAAAACAGAAGAAAAGCGGCAAATGTGAATTTCTGTGATTTTACACAAGTGGTTGGAAATATATAATTTAATTTAGAAAATATATAAATGAAGGTGTAAAATATTAGTCTGTTCCAATAGCAGGTGGGTTTACAGGATTTAGTCAGAACTTACAGGAAGTCGTTCCTATTGACATAAAACCTGTAGGTGGGAACACTTTTGAGAGAGAAACTGAGCAACTGTTCCTAGTCAGAAGTTACAGGATTTAGTCCGGAGTTTTTTTTCCTGTAAGTTCATGAAAAGTGTCAAACGATCAGCTGATTTGCATCTGCAAACAAAAACAGAAAGCGGTGAAAGGAAAGAACCTTATATATGTAAAAAAAGGAAGATAACAACGAAATATTTGAATATGTATAGATTTTAATAATTATTTAGTGATATTTCAGCCAAATCAGTTTTGTACCAATGACATGTAAACAAACCAACTGACGTTTTTACAGGAAATAGTGCTTTTTGCGTTCCCGTGCACTTCTGCATCTGTTCTCCTATTACTCTCACTTGAGAGAGTAAAATTGTAGTTTTACAGTTCCACAGGTTTTAGTCCGAAGTTCTAAGGAACAGACTATGAGCGTGTGTGAATCGGTAACAAAGTTCGCGGCGAGTAAATTTTTGACAACTATGAGGTGAAAAAAATTTCAGTAGCTTATGAGGCTAGTATAACGCAGTCTTTAAAATTGCAAAGATGTCTTTTTATATACTTCG